TCCACGAGGGGCAGCGGTTCCACGAGGGGCAAGGGTCCCACGAGGGGCAGCGGTTCCACGACGGGCAGCGGTCCCATGAGGCCTTTGTAGGTGGGAGACCACGGCAGGTGAGAGACAGACTGATACATCATGCAGGGTGAGTATAGAGTTTATTATGTGGCTTATGGAAGGGAAGGGGAAGGGGGAGAGAGAGAGAAAAAAAAACAGATGGGTGGAGGGGGAAGAGAAGAGGCAGCAGCCACCTCTTTTGAAGAGGAATGGAGATAGAGAGTGGGGGAGGAGGAGGGAGGGAGAAGGGAGAGAGGGAGAGAGAGGAGAGAGAGAGAGAGAGAGAGAGAGAGAGAGAGAAAAGAGAGGAGAGGAGAGAGGAGAGAGAGATGGAAGAGAGATGGAGAGGGAGAGATGGAGGAGAGATGGAGAGGGAGAGAGGGAGAGAGAGAGGAGAAGAGAAGAGAAGAGAGGAGAGAGAGATGGAAGAGAGATGGAGAGGGAGAGATGGAGGAGAGATGGAGGAGAGATGGAGAGGGAGAGAGAGAGGAGAAGAGAAGAGAGGAGAGAGAGATGGAAGAGAGATGGAGAGGGAGAGATGGAGGAGAGATGGAGAGGGAGAGAGGGGAGGGAGACAGAGACAGAGAGAGAGACAGAGGAGAGAGAGAGAGACAGAGGAGAGAGACAGAGAGAGAGACAGAGAGAGGGAGGTCGGGAGGGAGGGAGGGAGGGAGAGAGAGAGAGAGAGAGAGAGAGAGAGCAAGCTGGAGGGGGCAGAATATCTGCTTCCCTCAGTGGGAAGGGAGGGGTTGGGAGAGGGCGGGGCTCGTCTCTTAAAGAGACAGGGTACCCAGGTGACAGACCAGGCCAGTAGATCATAACACACAGTAGTGGTCACAGCTCGGTAGAAGATGGGCTAGAGTTTCCCCTCTGTCATATTCATGCTGTTCAATTTGGTTTCTTTAAGAATGTGCAGCTGGGTGGTGGCGGAGCATATCTTTAATCCCAGCACTTAGGAGGCAGTGGCAGGCGGATCTCTGAGTTCAAGGCCAACCTGGTATACAAGAGCTAGTTCCAGGATGGGCTCCAAAAGCTACAGAGAAACCCTGTCTAGAAAAACCAACCAACCAAACAAACAAAAACAAATGTGTTAGAACTAATGGTACATACCCTGCTATTCTCTGGACAGCGATTTAAAGTTCCCAAGAGGATTCGATCCAAGAGGTGGGTGCTCCAGGAATTTAGAACACACTTGTTGATTTTGCAAAGGATCAGGGTTCAATTCCCAGCTCCCCACATGGTGACTTACAATTCCCTGGAACTGGAGCCAATGCCCTCTTATGACACCATTGGCACCAGGCACACAATATGTATATGTAGGCAAAACTCTCATTCATATAAAATGAATAAATCCCCCCAAAATCTTTCAAGTTTCCAAGAGACAATGTAATATTATGAAGAGTCAAACAGAACTAGGGATTCCTGTCTTGGCAACAGCCATGCTCTATTAAGTCTGGAACATTATAAGTTACAAGAGGAACAACTAAGCCAGGTTGTAGTGGCACACGCCTTTAATCCCAGCACCCAGGAAGCAGAGACAAGTAGGTCTCTGAGTTCGAGGCCATCCTGGTCTACAAAGTGAGTTCAAGGACAGCCAGGACTATACAGAGAAGCTTGTCTCAAATACCAAAAAATCAAAACAAAACAAAAAAAACAAACAAGAAGAACTACTATGTATTTATTCCTAAGGAAAAACTGCTGTTAAACTCTGACACATGGTTTCTTTTCTCTCCCCCAATTCCCTTGTTTCTTTCATTTTTTTTTTTTTTTGGTTTTTCGAGACAGGGTTTCTCTGTAGTTTTGGAGCCTGTCCTGGAACTAGCTCTTGTAGACCAGGCTGGCCTCGAATTCCCAGAGATCCGCCTGCCTCTGCCTCCCGAGTGCTGGGATTAAAGGCGTGCGCCACCACCGCCCGGCCCCTTGTTTCTTTAAGTAACGTTTAGATTTATGTAGCACCACAAATAAAAACCCAGGGGCAGATATTGTGGTCCAAACTGAAGATCAGAAAAGCCAAGCAGTCAAACTCTAGAGATTTCTTACCTCTACCAATACTGGGAGATCTTGTAGTCAGTTACTGCAGACGACCGCACACTGAGACCCTGAGCTCCTGTCTCCTACTGTCTCACATTCCTCTCTAGTGCTGGGATTAAAGGTGTGTGCCACCACTGCCTGGCCTCTATGGCTAACTAGTGTGGCTAGCCTTGCACTCTGATATTCAGGCAAACTTTATTAAAACATACATGAAATATCACTATATTTATTTTATGTATGTTTTGCCTGAGGAGGCCAGGGAAGGCATCAGATCCCCTGGACCTGGAGTTATGGATGGTTGTGAGCCACCATGTGGGTGCTAAAAACTGAACTCCAGTCATCTGTAAGAGTGACCAATATCTCAACCGCTGAGCCACCTCTCCAGCCCTTTCCAGTATTTTGTTTTGTATTTTTCTTTTTTGAGACAGGTACTCTTTTTTTTTTTTTCAAATCCACTTGCCTCTGCCTTCCGAATTCTGAGATTAAAGGCATGGGATACCATGCCTGATCACTAGCAGATATCTTTTTTAAAAAAATGTTTATTTATTATTATGTATCCAACATTCTACCTCCCTGTAGCCTGCATGCCAGAAGAGGGCACCAGATCTCATTATAGATGGCTGTGAGTCACCATGGTGGTTGCTGGGAATTGAACTCAGGACCTCTGGAAAAGCAGTCAGTGCTCTTAACCTCTGAGCCATTTCTCCAGCGCCCCCCCCCCCCCTGCCTTTTTTGGTTTTTGAGACAGGGTTTCTCTGGAGCCTGTTCTGGAACTAGCTCATGTAGACCAGGTTGGCCTCGAACTCACAGAGATCTGCCTGTCCCTGCCTCTCAAGTGCTGGGATTAAAGGCATGTGCCACCACCTCCCAGTGAGACAGGTACTCTCTATGTAGCCCTGGCTATCCTGGAACTCACTATGTAGACTAGGCTGATCAAAGCTCAAACTCAAAGAGATTCACTTGCCTCTGCCTCCTGAGTGCTGGGATTAAAAGCCTGCACCACTACACCCATCTCATTTTTTAGAAATTTCTTGAGGTAGGAGCTCATGTAACCCAAGCTGCTATCAAAGTGGTCAGCCTTGAAACCATATACACATCAGCAACAAAGCAGACCTAGCTGGTTGTGTTTATGTATATATGTGTTGATGTGTGTGTGTATTTGTGCATACACATACATCTATATGTATGTAACAATAATAAGAAAAAGAGGCTATCAAATTGAGAACTATAGGAGGGACTCATGGAAGGATAGCTGGGATGGGCTAAAGGGAGCAAAGGGAGGGGAAAAAGAAATGAAATGAATCTTTCAAGTTTCTGTTGAAATGTAAATTTATCTCAGGATATGTAAGGCCATTGGGCGTGTGGTTTAAACATCTTAAAAATTAGTAAACTTAAAAGCAAATAAAAAGTTAGTTTAAAACTTGTAACATTAAGGGTCAGGTAGTATTGTAACAAAAATTAGTTCCAGTACTTGGGAGGCAGAGGCAGGCAGATTTCAGAATTCAAGACCAACCTGGTCTGCAAAGTGAGTTCCAAGACAGCCAGGGTTACAGAGAAACCCTGTCTCAAAAAAAAAAAAAAAAACATATATTAGTGCTCTATCTGCATTGAGGAAATAGGATCCCATCATAGATGGTTGTGAGCCACCATGTGGTTCTTGGCAATTGAAGTTAGGACCTTGGGAAGAATAGCCAATGTTTTTAACCACTGCGCCATTCTTCAGCCTTTGCTTTGTTTTTTGAGCCAGGATCTCTATGCAGTCTTAGACTTCACTAAGTTTCTTGTTTTGTCTTTTGAGACTTCTGGCTGTTCTGGAGCTCACTCTGTAGACCAGGCTGGCCTTCCAACTCCAGAGATCCACCCGTCTCTGCCTCGGGAGTGCTGGGATTAAAGGTGTGTACCACCACCACCCTGCCAGGACACTTTGATCCTAACAATAGGGAAACTGAGGGAAGGGGAACAGTTCCAAGGTAACTAGGGTTACAGAAGCTCCAGGCCAGGCTGACGATGAAGCGACTCATTATCTCAACAAAATGAAGGCTGGTGATACAGTGGTGAAGTGCCGGGCATGCCCAAGGAACACACACAAAAAAATATTGAAAGAAAACATTTATTTCTCCTGTTTCCTAGTCTTCTAGATCACTGTTTCTAGGCTGATTTTAGTTTTAAATCGGAATTTTTAGAGCCAGACATTTTTACTGTTTTTCAGCTGAAATCTAGTGGTGGTGGGGGGGTGTTGGTGAGAGCTGGGGAGGAGGATGATGGGCTGTTCCGTGGCCGAGTAAGCATTCATTGTAACAGCCTCGACTCAGAGCACGAATGCCAGGCAGCAGTGCCATGGCAACCGCATCCCGGTCTTGGAGGTTCCCAAGAGATTTTCTGTATCCTGGGAAAAGGCCACACTCACTGGACTCACGTTTTTTAAAACGCGGAAATGATTTCCACTGGAAGGGGGTTTACACATGCCCAGACGCCACTCCAGTCCTCTTCATCATCTAGAATCTTTGTTTAGGAGGATCCAAAATGATTCCCTCCCCGCACCCCGCGAGCGTATAAACTAGTAAAAAGAAACAAGGCGCAAAGGAAATTAGAAGAGATGCTGTCTGCAGGATTCTGAGCCGAGGTCCTTCCAACACCCCTGCCGCTCTTTTTTCGTTGGGATGCCTTCCAAGAGGCTAGTCGAGGGAAAGCCATCCAGAGAGATGCCCGAGCCGCCCCGCAGCGCCCTCTTCGTCAGCGGCAGGTGGGGCTGCCCTGCTGGGTCCCCACGACTGCGGACACCCCTCCCAAGGGCGACTCCAGGCCTCTCGGCGACCAGGAGCACCCAGCAAGTCCGCGCGCCGTCCCGGTTCTGGCCGGCGCGTGCCTGGGGCGGAGCTAGGGGCGGGACCTCGCGTGATTGGCCATCTGGGCCAGGAGGCGGGGCTGCCGGACGGACGCTGACAATGAGCCTCCATAAAAGGGAGCGGCGGGGTCGGGGGCCCCGGATCGAGCCCTCCCCTCCCGGGGTCCTGACGAGCTGAAGGCCGTGGCTGGCCGGGCGGCCGGGTGGGCGGTGGGCGGGTGAACTAGGCGGTCCGCGGGCCCTGCGTGGTCCGGGGCGGGAGGCCGCCGCCATTGGCGGCGCGCCGAGGCCTGTGCGCCCGTCCTCCGCTATCGGGTCGCCCTTCTCCGCCTCACCATGGCCCTCAGAGCAGAAGGAGCCGCGGCGCTCGACTGCTTCGAGGTGACGCTCAAGTGTGAGGAAGGAGAGGACGACGAGGAGGCCGTGGTGGTTGCCGTGATTCCGCGGCCCGAGCCGATGCTCCGAGGTAAGGGGGGGAGTGAACCTCACTTCCGCATGGCGACAAGGGGCTCGGCCACCGGTTCCCATTCCCTGGTCCCCAGGCGCGGTCCGGGCCCTTCCCGGTGGGGTCCACGGCGGGCGCGCGCCCTCGCTCCTCCCCCACCGGGGTTTGGAATCCTAGGCCTCTCGGAGCCCCCTCCCTCCGCTCCCCTCCCCCGCTCAGGGTCTGGAGGCTTCCATCCACTCCAAACGAGCGCTTCGGGTCTTCCGGTTCCTTGTGCCCTCTCGGGCCCAGCTTAGAGGCCGGATTCCCAGGACCGTAGTGTGTGCGCCGCCGCCGTCTCCCCGTTTCGCCCTGACTGCGTCCTAAGCCGAGGGGCGACCAGGCCTCTAGGCCCCAGGCTGGTCGCCGAAGCGATAACGGGGGCGAAGGCTAGCGCGACTGCTAAACTCCCGAGAGGAGCATTTTAAAAGCCCTGCCTAGTAGAGCCCGCCCGACCCCATCCTCAGGCCTTCTCTCGCAGCAGCCACAGGTGTCAGTTCCAGAACCCCGTCGTTGAATGGAACTGCAAGCAGCACCCAGTTTGAGAAAAGCGGGACTTGCTTGGGGGTAGTACTAAGCCATCTACATGGAGATTAGTCACCAAAGGAGGTATTTGAGGGACTATTGGAAATAACTCGCTCACCCCTCCCCTTCTCCATTTCTCTTCCCCTGCTCCTTTGGTCCAAAGGAGAAAACAAAGGACTACCTTTGTGCAAGGCTATCAGTCATTGTTGGAGTTTAAATGCAGTCATGAAATTGCAAATATTTTCTTACGGTGGAATGCCTGTTTCCCTTGAGTAAGACAGTGTCCAAAAGAGACTGAGAACTAAGTCCGTAGTCCTGCTTCTTGAGTATTTCTGCGCCCCTCCCTTTTCAAGAAGGGAGGATTAGAAAATTCGAGAAATAAAGGGCACATTCCTCTCAGTGTTTGCATCACGCAGGTTGCAGGTTATTTTCTGCTTGTGCTGGTCTGTGGAGTGCTTGCTCTGCTATTGTCACAGGCGCGCAGTTAATCCACTCAACGTCCCTGCCAGGGTGGCCTCATCACTGTTAGAAGGAAATAGACATCTACAGAGGTTCATTCATTCAACTGTATTTATTTATTGGGCAACTATATGCCAAGCGTTGTTTCAGGTGGGGTGGGGGTTGGGGGAAACGTAACAGTGGTGAGTAGGGTCAATGAAACCCTGCTCTAGAAAATACATCCCGGTGGCAGCCAACAGGAAAATTGAACTACAGTGTGTTAACTGGCAATGAGTTCTTTTTTTACTTGGTTTGTGTGTCACAGCATGCATGAAGAGATCAGGACAACTTTTGAGAGTCAATTCTTCCACCATGTGGGATTAAATTTGGCTCATAAGGGTCTGGCTGCAAGAGCTTTTACCAGTCCAGCCATCTCCCTGGCCCAGCAATCAGTCTTTTTAGGGAACATGAAAGTGGAATAGAAAAGTGGGAGTATAGTAAGAATTTTGTTCCTGTAAAGTGGTTAGGAAAAGTGTCTCTTCAAAACAGAACAAACGGAGCTGGGTGGTGGTGCACACCTTTAATCGTAGTACTACAGAGAGAAACCCGGTCTTGAAAAACAAAAATAACAATTACAATAAAAGAACAGAAGGAAGAAAGAAAGTAGATGAGTTTAAAGTTTTGTTGTTTGGGCTCAGCGTGGTGCTGCACCCCTTTAATTCTATCACTCAGGAGGCAGAAGCAGGCCAACCACCGAGTTTCAGGTCATCCTAGTGTTGTTCCTTTTGGAGACTACAGCTCCCAGCATTCCCCTGGACTACGGATACATTTCTCCCAGACGCCCTTGCGTTCCCCGTTAAAAGCGAGGGTTGCCTCAAGCCTCTCTCTCTCCCTCCCTTTCCTCTCGTCTCTTCACACCTGTCCCTTACTTGTTGTTACCCCCCCCATTAAAGTGCACCCACGTGGGACCACCGCGTGTCTGTGTCTCCTTCCTAACCCCGCACTGCCATGTGACTCACTTAACGTCTCCACTCTCTAACCCTGCAGACAAGAAAGACTGACACCTAGTCTACCTAGTGAGTTGCAGGCCAACTAGAGCTATAGTGAAACAGTGTTTTTATAAAGAAAAGGGAGTTTAGTTTGGTTTGTTTTTGTCTTAGTGACTTTTCTTTTGTGATAAACACAAGACAACTTGTTTGTGGGACCTGTTGGCATATACCCAGCGCTTGGGAAGCAGAGGATAGGCTGGCAGATCTCTGAATGAATTTAAGGCTAGCCTGATCTATAGAGCGAGTTCCAGGATAGCCAGGTTACACAGGAAAGCTGGTGGGGGGAACTTAATTAGGAGCTTAGAATCCATGCAGGCAGGAAAGCATGGTGCTGGGGCAGTAGCTGAGAGCTTATACCTGGTCCACAAGCACAAGGCAGAGAGAGTACATAGGAGCTTACCTGGGAGACCCTGAGAGAAAGAGCATAATGTGCTAACTGGGAATGCATAGAGTATTTGAAGCCCCACCCCCAGTGACCCAGCCCCTCTAACAAGGAATGCCACACCTCCTGATCCTTCCCAGACTGTTCCACCAACTGGATCAAGCATTTTTTTTTTTTCTGTTTTGTTTTGTTTTCGAGACAGGGTTTCTCTCTGGTTTTGGAGCCTGTCCTGGAACTAGCTCTTGTAGACCAGGCTGGTCTCGAACTCACAGAGATCCGCCTGCCTCTGCCTCCCTAGTGCTGGGATTAAAGGCGTGCGCCACCACTGCCTGGCTTGGATCAAGCATTCTTATACTGACTCTTTTGGGCCATTCTCATTCAAACCACCCACAATTTTGTTTTCTGAAAGTTTACTGAGACAGACAGGGCTGAGGTGTAGACTTGTTGGAAGATTAGGATAGGTCTTTGAATATGGTTACATTCACAGTGTCTCTTACAGGCTCCAGCAGAGTGATTATCTACACCTAGAATTCTTGTCCCATGGGTATAAATATGAGTTGCCAGGTTAGATAATCAAGCTTGTAATCTGAGCTACTCAAGAGGCTGATGCAGGCAGGAGGATCACAAATACTTGAACATCCTGGACTTGTCTCAAAAAGTAAAAAAAAAAAAAAAAATAGCTGGATATAGAATATAGAGCTCATTGGTAGCACATTTGCTAAATAACAAGTACAAGTATGCAACCCTACAATAAGTCTCCAATAATGCTGAAATAAATAGAATACAGGAGTTGTCAGCAGGCAACAGGTGAGAATCACCCAGAGGAGGAGGCCAAATGGGGTCAAAAGGGCTGAGGCAGCCAGTCCCTTGTCTTTGATACCCCGTACTGTTGTTCTTGAGGGTAGACATAAAGAGAAATCTATCAAGGGCTGGTGCTATGCTGTGCTCTGGAGGGAAAAAAGGGGGGAGTGGCGTAGTCACCTGGTAGGTTGCAGCTTCTGAAGGAGGTTGAGAAAATAGTTTCCAGAGTGATGTGAGTAGGAACAGGCAAGTTAAGTAAGAGACTGAAGGAAGACAAGCAGTGCCCTAAATGCCTTTTATCAAGATGGAAGGCGATTGAGTAAAAGAATTGCTGTTTGGGTTGGTGACCATCACAAAGACCTGGTTTAGGAGAATGGGGAGAAGAAGGCCAGTTGAAACTAGGGTGTCCTGTCACATGGGAGAAAAGTTCTGGGACCTAGACTATTCTAGATGTTACCTTTTCCTAAAGCCCCAGGTAAATGAAGGAATCCAGTTAATACAGAGACAGTTACAGTACCCAGGGATCACAGGCACTTGGCAGAAGAGTACCAGGCTGATGCTGAGCTAGTCCTCAACCTATAGAGAAATAAGCAGGGTAGCAGTTCCCTGCATGCCAGTTCTTTTAGTAACAATAAGATGACCAAATTTAGCATCCTCACCCTCAAAAAAGAATATATATTACTGTGGTTGATCCTAGTGCTACCAAGAAAAAGATGCTGTAGGAAGTATTACAGCTTGTAATTACCGGCCTACTGGGGCTTGGCCTCATATACTATATACGTGGTGCTTCCTTTTGTTCTCCTTTCCCTTGCTCTTTTGCCGTCAGCCGTTCCTTTGGATCGCGTGGTTCAACCGATCAAGCGGAGGATTCTGATTTGTGAGTTTACCCTTTAATAAATAACTATTCCCCACCCATACACACACACACACAACCGCAACACCTGGTGGATAGTTTGATCCTTCCATGGCCCAGACAGGCTTCCTTTTGTCTAAGCTGTGTTGTGTGTGTGTGTGTGTGTGTGTGTGTGTGTGTGTGTGTGTGTGTGTGAAATCCCCGTCACAACAGAGTTTGCAGCGCTTAAGCAGCAAGCTTCTCTCTCTGTGTGGTCACTACTCCTCTGACTCCATCCTCCTTCATCCCAATATCCTTAGTTTGGTTGTCCTGCCTATACTTCCTGCCTGATTACTAGCCAGTCAGTTCTTTATTAACCAGTGAGAATAATACATATTCACAGTGTACAGAGGATTATTCCACAGCATGTTCCTTTTTTGTCTTATTAAAAAGGTTTTAACCTTGACATAGTAAAACTAACAAAACAATAAGAATTACAGTTACAATATCCAGCCCATTTGTATTTGCCAAATTTAGAGAAAATACTCAATTTATCTTATCTTTGTGACTTAAGTTTTATACCTAATTTACATTTTATTATAACTTATGGAAAACTTTAACTATGACTGTCTAGTCATCAACTCTGTCAGAGACCCCAGAGGGGTGAAATGTTACCTAAAAACAGGACATCTGGCTACCTGCCCAGTTACCCTAGGTTCTTCTGTAACATTGGGGTATCCAGCTCTGGCCTATAAGCCTTCCAAAACTGACAGACAATTTCCTTTCCTGTGAGGTAGGGAAATTTGAGGGACTTTATACAATGTCTTAGCAAAGTTTGACAGTTGCTTTCTTTTGGGTCTTGCTGGTCCAGTTTGGACAGTATACTGTCAGCAATTAAGGCATGGGCAGTTTCTTGGCCCATATGGCTAGCTTTGCCATAATAAAAACAGACTCCATAATAGAGTTTTTTTTTTCCCAATGTTCATTATCTTCTCTGAAGTAGATTGGTGCTGTCAGGAGCAGATGTGTCTCACTGTCATGAAAAGCTTTAAGTTATTAAACTTTAAATGCCATATTCTGTAGGTCTTTGAAGTGTTTGAAGACCATCTCCCTAAATATATCTGTGCATGACCCTTGAAAACATACCTAACATGAATATAAGTTTCACTATTATAGATGACTATTAGTCTGTTATTTTTTAATTATACATTACATTTTTGAGGTACTGTATCACCTGAGCCATCTATTTTCATTGGTGTCTGGTCTTGTACTGAAAAATACATAACCTTTTAAAGGTAACATACATTTTTGCATTAATACGAGTATAGAGTGTGTTGTACACAAGTTAGTCTAAGATGATATTTTGTTTTATATTTGAGCAGGTAAAATTACATGTTTTGTAGTTTTTGTAGGCTTATGTCTGTTGTCAGAATTTTCAGAGAGGGGCTGAAGAGATGGCTCAGTAGTTAAGAGCACTGGCTACTCTTCCAAAGGACCTGGGTTCAATTCCTAGTATCCACATGGCAGCTCACAACTGTAACACCTGTTCCAAGGGATCTGATTCTCACATGCAGGCATTCCTGCAGGAAAAACACCAATGTTTATAAAATAAAAATAAATAATTAATAAAAGAGAAAAAAAGAAGAATTTGTGGGGAGTTTTCTTTAATCAAACCTGATTTTCTTTAACCTGAAATGGATCCATAGCATCTCCTTTTCCATGGAAATAAAAGCATAACTTCCCCCTCAAAGCAACATACCTTTTGACTTAAATTTTATTGCTTTAAAGATTTATTTATTTTTACGTATACAGTGTTGTGCTTACATATATGCTTGCATGCCAGAACCAGAGGGCACCAGATCTCATTACAAGTGGTTATGAGCTACCGTGTAGATGCTGGGAATTGAACTTAGGACCTCTGAAAGAGCAGCCAGTGATAGCTCTTAACCTATGAACCATCTCTCTAGCCCTTGACTTAAATTTTGAAGTCAAGATATTTTTAAAATATATAAGTTGGTTTAAACTAGTAGTTTTTATAGTCCAGTGTCCCTGAGCAGCCAAAGAATTTAAAGACAACACAGTAACATACAGGATCCAGAATCTGTGTATGACTTTTTTTTTCTATTACTTTTCTCACTTTTTAAGAAGTTTAAGCCAGGTGATGGCGGCACACACCTTTATCCCAGAACTCAGGAGGAAGAGACAAGCAGATCTCTGAGTTCAAGGCCAGCCTAGTCTACAGAGTGACAGGTGCCAAAGCTACAAAGAAACCTGTCTCAAAAAAAAAAAAAACAATAACTTTATTTTAAAAGTATGTATTACTTTTTTATGACTGTCTACACTTTTTCTTTTCCCTCCCAAGTCTGTTTACAGGTTTTTTTCGTCTGAATCTCTCTTTATTGCATATCTGTAATCTTTTTCTGACCACATGAACATTTAAACTGCTAAGTGGCATGCCTAGGACCTCCACCTCTGTTTTGGTGGCTGGTTCTATCTGGTCTGCTTGGTTCCTTGAGTGCACATGAGAGCCATATTTGTTGCCCCAACTCTGGGAGTTTTTGGATCTATGCTGTCACCAAGCAGTGCACCATCTGCTGTTCATAATCCCCACCTAAGTGTTTGGTAGCAGCCCCCCCCCCCCTTTTTCCCTTTGGGACAGGGTTTCTCTGTAGCTTTGGAGCCTGTCCTGGACCTCACTATGTAGAACAAGATGGCCTCAAACTCACAGAGATTTGCCTAACTCTGCCTCTTGAGTACTGGGATTAAAGGTGTGTGCCACCACTGCCTGACTTTTTGCTTTTTTTTTTTTTTCTTTTCTAAGACAGGGTTTCTCTGTGTAGTTCTGGCTGTCCTGTAACTTACTCTGTAGATCAGACTGGCCTTGAATTCAGATTCACCTGCCTCTGCCTCCTGAGTGCTGGGGTTAGATGTGTGCCACCACACCAGTGGCAGGAAGTAGACTCTTACCAGGGCAGTTTGTGTGATTTATTTCAATCTTAAGAATCTATTAGTGAAACCTAAGCTTTACTGGTACAATGGATGTTGGTTACCTGGTGCTGAAGGAATCAGCAGTAATTACTAAAGACCAGCATGGCATCACTGAGATCAAATTTTGTGAGAAGTATTTCCTCAGGGTCAGCACTCAAAATCTGGTGGTCCAGTGGGGGCAGAAGCTGCATCTCAGTTTGAAAACTGAACATGGCAGTATTTAAAACTCATCCCATATGAGACTGATTTTGAAGGCATGAAGGAGTGAGTTGAACTGTTTAGTTTTTAGAGTCACCTTGAAAGAGAGAACCTCAGATGAAGAATTACTTCCTTCAGATTGGCTTGTGAGCAATGTCTGTTGGAGATTGTCTTGATTGATATGGGAGGTAGGACCCAGCCCACTGTGGGTGGCACCATCCCTAGGCTGGTAGGCCTAGGCTATATAAGAAAACAAGCTGAACAAGCTACAGGGGACCTGGCTTGCTTGTTTGCTTGCTAGCTTTTTTGATTTTTCAAGACAGTGTTTCTCTATAGCGGTCATTCTACCTGCCTCTGCCTCCCAAGTGCTAGGATTAAGGGCATGCACCACCACTGCCTGGCTGAGGGAGCAAGTTTTCAAGCAGCATTATTCTTTTAAACTCCCACCTTGAGTCCTTCCTACTTTGGCTTTTTTCGTGATATACCGTAACCTGTAATCCCTTTCTTCCCCAAGTTGCTTTGATTTTGGTGTTTATCATAACATAACACAAAAAACAAACTAGAAGAACTAAAACATCGAATCTGGTTGTAAAACCCTATAAATCTACCTATTCAGGAGGCTAAGACAGGAGAATTGCATGTTCAAGGCCAGCCTGGTTAACTAAGCGTGTCCCTCAGTTGTATTGCCGGAATCCATATAAAGGTGGAAGGATAGAACTTCATCCCACAGGGTTGTCCTCGGGCCTCCATGTGTACTCCTTGGCACATGTGTCCCCCTATTATACATATATAAATTAATACTTTAAAGGGAGAAGGCTAGAGCTTTATCTCAGTGGGTAGAGTGCTTGCCTAGCATGCATGGAGCCCTAGGTTTGATCCCTAACACTTTAAATAACAGGCATGGTGGTGCATGCTGCACTAAGGAGGTGGAAAATTATCTCAGCTACATAGGAAACTTGAGGTCAGCTTGGACTATTTGAGACTGAAGTGTGCTTTGTGATCTACACATCAGATATGGGTACAGTTGACTAGTGGGTGAGGAAACCTGGAAATCTCACTGTAATGATATCTGCCAGATGATCAGGGAGGTCAAGGCAGACATAGGGTGTGTGGTAGCCCCAGAAACATTGGAATGGGACTCATGACTAGATGTGAGGTAATGTAAAGGTGAAGGTGCAATACCAGGTTCCCTGGCTGTGTGTCTCATGCTGCTCTGTTGGGATCTGGTGTGGAGGTGGAGCACTGCACAGGAACCCCTCACCCACCCCACACAGATGTGCTCCTGGCATTTTCACAGCACTTTCCCCTTTCTGCAGTAACCCAACAGGAAAAGACGCCGCCACCTAGGCCTAACCTGCTGGAAGCAGGTGTCGAAGGCTGTGAGGAGCCCAAGCAGCAAGTGTCATGGGAACAGGAGTTCCTGGTGGGGAACAGCCCAGGAGGCAGTGGACGGACACTGTGCATGGTGTGTGGGGCTGAGATCCGGTCCCCATCAGCAGATACTGCTCGCACACACATCCTGGAGCAGCATCCGCATACCCTGGACCTGAGCCCCTCTGAAAAGAGCAACATCTTGGAAGCCTGGAGCGAAGGGGTGGCCCTTCTGCAAGATATCCAAGTTGACCAGCCATCCCTGCCCAGCCTAGGTAGTGAGGGTGAGGGCTGAGGGAAAAGTGGGGCCTGTAGGGGCCCTGGAGCTCAGTGGGCTTTTGCCCCCTCAGAGTCAGGCCAGGATGGCCATCCAGACCCCAACTCCAACCCGGACCCTGCCAGGATGCCAGCAGAGATCGTGGTCCTCTTGGACTCCGAGGACAACCCATCCCTCCCTAAGAGACTCCGGCCCAGAGGACTCCGCCCTCTTGAACTGCCTGGTCAGTCAACAGAGGAAACCCTATTCTATGGGCTGGGGTGGGCATGTGTTCTGAGGAGCCTGAGGTTACAGAGTTCAGGCATAGAGCCTTAAAGTGCTAAGGTTTTTCCTTTTGCAGTTGCCCCTGTCACAGAGCCAGGAAATAAAAGGGCCCGTGGTCAGAGATGGAAGGAGTCCTCTGAAGAGGAGCCTCCTAGGAAGAAGAGAGGCAGGCATATGACCAAAAACCTGGACCCTGACCCAGGTGAGGGGATCTAGGGGTGCTGGGCCTGGCTATAGCATGAAGTCCATGAGGAAGTGGACAGGCAAAGGGCACCTGCATGCAGTTCAACTGAAGCTTAAGGCCTTTGGGTTCTTGCCTCCTCTACTCACAGTTCTTCCTGGCCTTCTTCCAGACCCCCCATCTCCTGAGTCACCCACAGAGACGTTCTCAGCACCAGCCGAAGTCCGACACTTCACTGATGGCAGCTTCCCTCCTGGCTTTGTACTCCAGCTCTTCTCCCACACGCACCTCAGGACCACAGACAGTAAGGACCCTTCTAAAGTCAGCAAAGGAGCAGCAGAGGGCCTGCATCAGCCAGAAAGTCCCTCTTCAGGTGAGCCCTCCTGGGGGGAGGGTCTGTCAAGGAAGCTGAGTCCCTAGATCCCAGCCAGAGCCCAGGGTGGAGGTGCTCAATGTTTAGGCCCCCAAGAGAAGGCCAAGGACAGGGGGATTTGAATGCTTGAGGAAGCTGGCTCCTGTGCTGAGGTTGTACTAGGCCTCCGAAAGCTTGATGCCCAACTTCATCCATGAGGCTAGTTGCAGCTGGAATCCCGGAAGAACTCCCCTCACAGTGGTGATACAGGGTCCAAGTGAGGTACTCAGCCATTTAAACAGGTGTGGAGCACCATAGACAGGTAGGTGATGAACATCAGATAGGTACTCCATAGTCCAGCAAGCTTAGTGAACTTTGACAGCTTGTGTTTATAATCTGTCCCACTGACTGAGGAGCTTTTGTATGTAATTCGTTTGTTTCCTTATAAACCAAGCATAATCCAACACTTGGAAATCTGAGACAGGAGTGAATGAAATAAATAAAAAGGTGGCGCACGCCTTTAATCCCAGCACTCGGGAGGCAGAGGCAGGCGAATCTCTGAATTTGAGACCAGCCTGGTCTACAAGAGTTAGTTCCAAGACAGACTCCAAGAAGCTACAGAGAGGGGGGCTGGAGAGATGGCTCAGTGGTTAAGAGCATTGCCTGCTCTTCCAAAGGTCCTGAGTTCAATTCCCGGCAACCACATGGTGGCTCACAACCATCTGTAATGAGGTATGGTGCCCTCTTCTGGCCTGCAGGCATACACACAGACAGACTATTGTATACATAATAAATATTTTTTTTAAAAAAGGCTGTGGAAGAGAAAGTTTATTGTAGATAATAGGGAGAGCAGAGCTGGAGGCATTTGGGAAAGTCCCGAGTGAACTAGCCCCTCAACCAGCGATGAGAGGTGGGGAGGAGACCCAGGTGCAGCAGCCAAAGAAGAGAAGGTAATAAAGGAGGGGTAAGCGAAATGGTTGCTCTGTATAGGGAAGGGAGGCAGCTGGGGAAATAACAGCCCAGTCCCTGGGGTAGAGAATTCAGGGGTAGAGAGTGGGATATGCCAACCATACCCTGTAACAGGTAGGGAATGGAGGATACTGGGAGAACCTGGTGGCCATGTCCACTTTGGTAAATAAGCACCTCAGCCATTTGTTTGAGACTTAACAAGGAGGATTGCTGCAGGTTGGAGGTCAACCTAGGTTACAGAGTAAAAACATAAAAGCTAAAACCAAAAAAAGTACAATGCCTGGCTTTTGTTTGTTTGTTTTTTGTTGTTTTTTTTTTTTTTTCAAACAGTCTATAGCCCAGGCTGGCCTCAAAACTATTTAGCCAAGGTTGGCATTTAACTCTTTATCCTGCTGCCTCTGCTTCCCAAGTGCTGACCCAGGAAGCTGATCACCACTGATCATCAATCCTCCTAATTTCCCTTCCTCCCTCCCTCCCTTCCTTCCTTTTGTTTGTTTGCTTAAGCTTTTTTAAATTGTTTATTTTACTCATGGGAGGGCACAAGGCATGGTACAGAGAGGTCAGAGGACAACCTCCTTCACTGTGTGGGGCCTGAGATTGAATTCACTTCAGCCGACTTAGTCGCTCCCAGCTTGCTTTCTGTTCCTTTAGAGTTCTGGTCTCTATCCCATCAGGCTTTGCTTTACTGAACTTTTATTTCCAACATTCCATCCTTTACCTCCTTGTCCCTTGGAAGAGTGAGTGCTTAACTCAGGTTAAGACATTGAGGAGTCTCCAGCTCCTGGACCCTTAACTAAGTTCTGAGCTTTTCCTCATGTCTTGCTCATGAAAGTAGAGCATGGGAAGGAAGCCTTACGATTTTGTTTTATTGAGGGGAAAACTGAATCAAGCATGGCAATGGTGCACACCTTTAGTCCCAGATACTGCTTTGGAACTCAGGTGCCTGATGTCAGCCTGTGCTGACCACATGTCAAAAGAAAGGCCAGGGAAGGGCTGGAGAGGTAGCTCAGAGGATAAAAACACTTGTAAAAACCAGATGATCTGAGTTTGATGCCCGGATCCCACTATAGGAGAGCACCAACTCTAAAAGTTGCTCTCCAGCCTACTTGGACACATGCAGCCTCACATCATCTATAGCTCTCCTCCCAATAATAATAGTTATTGTGATGAAAAACCAGAAAATAAGGTTGGGTTGCTAGTGTGAAATACTTGTTTAGCTTGTATCTAAAACCCCAATGTGTAGTGTTGGTTGGGCTGCATGTAAGTCTGTACATCACCTGTGTGCCTGGGACTTGCTGAGGTCAGAAGGTTGTTTTTTTTTTTAATATTTATTTATTTATTATGGATACAATATTCTGTTTGCATATATGCCTACAGGCTAGAAGAAGGCACCAGACCCCAATACAGATGGTTGTGAGCCACCATGTGGTTGCTGGGAATCGAACTCAGGTCCTTTGGAAGAGCATGCAATGCTCTTAACCGCTGAGCCATCTCTCCAGCCTGGCCAGAAGGTTTTTAATCCCCTGCAAAGTTATAGATGGTTGTGAGCTACCATGTAGATGCTGGGTATTGAACTTAAGTCCTTTGCAAGAATAGCCAGTGCTATAAAAATCTACTAAATCATTTCCCCAGCACTAGTTTGGTTTTTGTTTTTGCTTTCTGTTTTTTGGGGTTTTTTTGTTTTTCAGACAGTCATTAAGTAGCCTAGGCTGGCCTTGATCTCTCAATTTTCCTGCCTCAGCCCCCTCAGGCTAAGATTATAAGCATAAACTGCTGAGTCCTGCAAAGATTTTTATCCCCAACAGTACAAAAGTAAAGGGTTAAGGGATAGAAGCTAGACCCTGGGTAAGTAAAGTTTCTTGGCTAGGGCCTCTCACCCAGCAGGCTAGAGTTTGTTGTCCTTCCACCAGGCCCATTCAGACATCTAGCTGCAAGCTTGGTACTTGGCCCTGTTGTGTGACAACTTTTCTTGGGGTGTTGCAAGCTACATACCAAAATACAGAGACCATCGATGTTCAATTTGGTTAACCAATGAGTTTTATTGGGTTTATTTATAGGCATATGAATGAGGGGTTACTTACAGGAGCAGAAATGACTCAGATCGCTGTGTCATCAGAGCCCACCCCAGCATGACTGACATGTTACTTTCAAAACTGAACCTGGAGCACACTGTCTGCTTACAGACAGTTCAACAGGTTGAAGATGTCCTTTCCAGGTGCCTCAGTTGGGCCAAACTCTTCCAGGTAGAGTTGGTTTCTGTTTCTCCAGGCAAGGGGTCTGGCCTCAGGCAGCTTTTCTCCTCTTCATTGACTCTCCACCTGTCTGGCAGTCTGTTTTACAGCTCAGCTTTACTTCTCTCCTGAGGATGCTCAGCTTTCATTGTTTACTCTTGCAGGGAGGGGCTTAGTGAATCTGATCAGTTTCCAGGACTTCCTAAGGTTTTCTGAGTTGTTTACCTTCCTGCTTAAGCAGCTTCCCTGCAGGATAGAATGTTTCTACCTCCAAGGATATTGTTATGCAAGCCCTCCCACCCAAGTCTATCTCTTCTCTCAGGGGAAGGCCCTAGCAGGGATTAATTACCTACCTCTTCTCCCATTGCAGGAGCCATCTGTTTTTTCCTCTTTGGCAATCATCTCCAATTCTTTTGTCATCTCACACAAAGTTGCTATTTCTCTTTTCCTGACTCCTTCATCCTTCTGACTTATGTCCATTTATTCCCAAGATGGAGTCTTTGCTTTCAGCTGCCTCTTGCCTCTGTCTCTGGAGTTTCTGGGCTCAGATTTTATCCATAACAAACTGAAGCTTTTTCTTTTTCTTTTTTTTTTTCGAGACAGGGTTTCTCTGTGGTTTTGGAGCCTGTCCTGGAACTAGCTCTTGTAGATCAGGCTGGTCTCGAACTCACAGAGATCCGCCTGCCTCTGCCTCCCTAGTGCTGGGAGTAAAGGTGTGCGCCACCACTGCCCAGCTTGAAGCTTTTTCTTTACCAACGCCTGTTGACTGCCATAAAGTTAAAGACCACAGTCTGACCTCCATTTCCATCCTTTGAGTTAATCTGAAACAGGCTATGTAGCCTTGTAGACCTTCATCCTCTTCCCAAGTGACAGGTTTACAAATACACGTCATCATACCTGGCATTTCTCATGTCCTACAGTTGGTAACACATCATTATTGTCTGTTGTCCACATTCTAGAATGTAAGCTTGTTAGCCCCATGATGGTCCCAGTGGTCATAATACTTCAGGTGCAGCACTGTTTATATGTATCTAGGAAATGACATGTGTGTGGTTCCAGCCTGGCCCTCTCTCCCTTTGGTTCCACACTCTCTACTGGTAGCCAGGCATTACCTCTACTTGGTGGATTAAAGTTGTCAGCAGAGGATATATTATAGTGAGATCCTGTCTTCAAAAAATAAAACAAACCCTAGCACCTAAGAGGCAGAGGCGGCAGATTGCAGTGACTTTGTTGAGTTTGTGACCAGTCTGATCTGCAAGTTCCAGGACAGCCAAGGCTACATAGCAAAACCTTATCTCAACCGAAACAAAAACCCCAACAGAATTTTTTTTTTTTGGATACAGGGTTTCTTACCTCAGAAAAGTTTTCTTTCAGACACCATTCTCTTGAGGTTGGGCACACCTTTAACCACATTATTTGAAAGGCAGAGGCAGTTGAATATCTGAGTTCGAGAGCAGCCAGAGCTACTCAGAGAAACCTGGGGGTGGGGTTGTGGGGAGATGCTTCCCTTTCTCTAGCAAACTGCTACCTTTGGTTTGCTGTCGCCACACCTTCAGTGAGTTACCCTCTTATGTCTCTCAACCCCACATCAGTCCATCTGCAAACCTTAGTTTACTCTTCTGTCAACTACCACTACTCTGACCTAATGTTGCCTTAATTTTTCCTGCGAGATATGAAGAAATGTCTGCTTCCCCCAGATAAGATGCTCAGCTCACCTTAGTGTCTGCCATTGAACTAATGCCCCAGCTCTGTTTTACTGTTTATCCTGAGACAGAGTCTCATTCAGTTGCTCAGGCAGGCCTTGAACTTTGGGTTATGATCTTCCTGCTCTACCTTCCTATAGGCTGGGGTTATGAGCATGTGTGTGGTCCACACTGGTTTGATGAATCTCTCTGTATGTGAATTAAACCCAGAGCTCAGAGTTTTCATGCTCCACCACTGAGCTTGCTGTATTCTCAGCTCCTTTTTGTTTTTTAAATAGAGTTTATACATAGACCTGGCTGTCACAGAACTCACTGTAGTGTAGACTGGCTGGCCTCAAATTCATGGAGATCCACCTGCCTCTACCTCCTGAGTGCTAGGATTAAAGTTGTGGGCCACCAGGCCTAACTTGTATGCTCATGTGCATAATTTTAAACTCAAGCAAAAATCAGCAAAATCATACCTGCTTTAATTATACAGAAAAGAATTCCTGGGAGGAAGAAAATTTACTGGATATGTTTAAGTACATAATTAGCACAGTTTGATTACCATTTCCTGTTTGACTTTTTGGTTTGGTTTGGTTTTGGTTTTTCTTTTTCTCCATATCCCTGGCTGTCCTGCAATTCACACTGTAGATCAGGCTGACCTTGAACTAAGCCTCCCAAATGCTGGTATTACAGGCAAGGCATGTGCCCAGCTTTTGTGGAGCAGGGCAATCTCAGACAGTAGGATTTGGAAATGACCTTGACCTCTTGGTTGGCTTGCCTCTGTCTCTCAAGAGCTGAGATTGCTATGCCATATAATATCATGTGTGTGGGTCCAAGTCAAGGACATTTTTTTGTTGTTCTACCTGTCTTATCTGGAGGCTTGCCTTGCTATTCCCAGTACCCTCATGCCAAGACACCTGACTGTGTGACACCTGTCAACTCCGGGGATGTGGAGCCTGGATGAACGCTGCAGAGCAAAGCTGGAGCATTAACCTAGGGTGTCTGTGATGTGCTCTGCCTTGTTACTCCCATACTCCATGGAGTCAGTGGATGTGTTCCTCAGCATATCACTTCTGTGTGCAGTCTTGGAAGTTAGGAGCTGGGGAGCAGCATCATGGCATTGTGAACCCACATGCCAAGTACACAAGGAGAAAGCTGTATTCTATGCTTACCCTGTGCCTAAGGGCTGTGAGACTAGTCATTGCTGGTCAATCAAGAGTCAGCTTTATGCTTTTTCTTGGACTTCCCCTAGGACAAGACTGTGGGCTGTAGAAATGGGAAACCCTGGTAGTCTGTGGTTTGCAGTTTTGGGGACCATTGGAAGGCCCTGACTGTACTCTCTGCTCCCATCCCTTCCCAGCTCCCCCTCCGGGGCTTCGTGGGACACTGGATCTCCAGGTTATTCGTGTTCGGATGGAGGAGCCACCAGCCGTCCGCCTCTTACAGGACTGGTCCAAGCATCCCCAGGGTACCAAGGGGGTGGGAACAGGTGACAACCCAGACTGGCCCACTGTTCTGTCAGAGTCCAGTGCCACTGTTAAGGGACAACCAGAGGCGGGAAATGGGGTATGAGTTTTTACTTTACTGGGGAGGGAGGAGTGGGAAGAAGGAAAGGTGGGAGGGAGGAGGCAGTATCCCCCTTTGGCTTAAATCTCAGATCTGCCCAGCTCAGCCACCTGATTGAGTTTTAAAACCAGGTGCCAGGAAAATGTGGAAGGAGAAGTGGCATCACTGTCACAGTGGGGCACTAGAAAATGCTTGCCCCTGGACAATCCTGAATGAGGCAGAGGTGGCTTAGGCTATTGGGTGATAGGCATTGGGCCTGTGGAGAAAACCTTCCCCAATCCTTTGCTGACTCACCCTCTGACCCCACACCTCCTTCCTGTCAGCTCCCACCATTCTCCCCTGGCACAGTGCCTTATGCAGAGGTGGTCATGATGGGGTTTGAACTGAGTCCCACTACCTCGGGGGACACCTCTCCTCCCCCACTTCTGGCTCCTTCAGGAGGAGACCTCCATTACCTCTTAACCGCCTCATCCCTGCCGAGGGCTCCCTTTACCACCCCTTCTCCTATAGTCCTGTTGCATCTTTTATCCAGTTGTATATATTGCCTTTGTTGACAATAAATTATTTTTTTTTTTTAATTAAAAGTTCTGTCTGGACCATCATTGGGAAAACGGAACAACTTGAGGGACAGGAAAATTGAAAGGTCATCCTAAGTTGGAGCCAGAGACCCCTGTCCTGGGCAAGGGAGCCTTGAGCCCAGAGCAGAGCTTGCTTGGGCCTCTGGAACTGTTCTAATTTGGTGTCAGTCAACTGAGAGACACCTTACTTCTCTTCATTAACATATTTATTTGACCATCTGACCCACCTGGTAGACCTCTGTCCAAGCAAGGCTACCACAGAGCTGGGACACTCACACCTAGGGAAGTAAGAGTTATTGGGGCCTGAGCTGCACGTGGTGGCAGGCACCTTTAATCCCAACACTTGGGAATCAGAGGCAGACAGATCTCTATGAGTTCAAAGCTAGACTGGTCTACAAAGTGAGTTCCAGGACAGCCAAAGCTGTTACACAAGAGAAACGCTGTCTTAAAATTAAAATAATATAAAATAAAATAAATGTTATTGGGGCCTGATCCTGGCCAGCCTGCACAGACATCTCTCCTGTGAGAAGGTAGCACATACCTGCTTTCTTGTAGTTCTATACTCTCCACTACACAACTCACCCTTAGCCCCCAGCCTCAACACAAGTCTGCCTCGGGTCTCTGCAGATTTGGGGCTCTCGAGCTACCTTATACAGGCCTAATCTGTGGCTCTTACCCTTAGGGCAAAATGAACCTTCCAGATTGCTTAATCCAAAATCCTAGGTTCCACTGTCCTGTTCACAATCCCCAGCAGGTATTTCATGAACTGGGGCCACCCCACACTGCTGACTTGCTGTTTCAGGAAATTACAGAGACCTAGGGAGAAAAAGGAAGACATTTCAGCTAGGGAGAGTCAGGCTGTGCTAGATCTCATACCGGACTAATGGGATTGGCCCTTTAACATCTGATGTTCTCAGAAGGAGCCCAGGAATGTAGAGGGTCCTTGTCCAGGACAGGCTGAGACAGGCATGAAGTAGAGATAGCAGTTTCAGGGTACCTTATGTCCAGAATGAGACAGGTAGGCCACAGGACTCCTGGGTCTGTATGTGTTTCTGCAGATTGACACAATTTGTAAGCTCCCTAACAATAATGCTCCCTATCTCTGAACACACCTGGTTAGAGTTGTACATAGTTTCTGTCCCTACAATTGTGTGACTTTACATTTATGCCAACTTCCTTTTAAAGACATTGTGGCTATTACAAAGTATTGAGGAAACGTGTCAAAGATTGTGTTGTGAAATGATGACCGAAAAGCCCATTTGTTGTAGTATGATCCTGGTTTCTCCTAGCCTGTGAACTCTGGGGCAGGGACATTGATTTGATATTTCTGGTGCCCCGCATAGGGACCTGGCACATAGGTGCTCAGTAAACGTCTGTCAGATGCTTTCTTGGTCTCTAGGTGTGCATTCTGTGTGACCTTTTTCTCATACAGCCAATGACTGACTCAATTCTTTTTGGGTTTTGTTTTTGTTCTTTTTAGATATTCTGGCTGTTTCAAACCGATGATCAGCCTCCATATCCTTCCAGGTGCTGGGATTATAGGTATTCTCCACCATGCCCACTCTTAACACACGACAGTTAAAAAAAAAAAAGTATTAACACTGACCCTTCGGGATGAGGGTCTTTGAGTTGTCTTATAACCAACTAGCTTCAAATTGAGAGTTCCCAGAGCCCCCTTAGATGGTTAATTTGATATGGAAAGCCTGGTCACATGGCACACGCCATGCAAACCTAAAATGACCCAGCTTCCTTCCCTTCCCAGAACTCATAGTAGAAGGAGACTTCTGGAAGTTGTCCTGAGCTCGGTGTGCCTGGCATTCAAGAGCCACGGCACTGTGCACCTGTGCTCGGAAAGAGGCATTGTGGCATACACCTGTAATTCCAGAACTCAGGAGGCAGGGAGATAGTTCACTTGAGTTGAGACACTACCTGGTTTATAGAGTTCCAGGCCATCCAGGTCTGTGTAGTAAGACACTTTAACAAAATAAAAGCAAAAATCAAATCACCAAGGTAAGGAATGGCTTGGTTCATGGTTAAGAGTGCTTGCTGCTCTTGTACAAAAGCACCCATATCCAGAGGTGCACTGTGCCCATGACCCCGTCTCTAGGGGATCTAACACTCTTGGTCTCTGTGCACACAGACATGCACACACAGACACATAAATAAAAGTAATTTTTAAAAACTGAAAACAAGGGCCGGGCGATGGTGGCGCACGCCTTTAATCCCAGCACTCGGGAGGCAGAGGCAGGCGGATCTCTGTGAGTTCGAGACCAGCCTGGTCTACAGAGCTAGTTCCAGGACAGGCTCCAAAGATACAGAGAAACCTTGTCTCGAAAAACCAAAAAAAAAAATTGAAAACAAGTAGAGCTGGAGAGATGACTCAGTGATTAAAGGCGCTTGGTGCTCTTCTATACGACCTGAGTTTGGATCTCAGTACCCACCTCAAAGGACTCACAATCGCCTTGGTGGCTCCAGCTCTAAGGAGACCTCCATGGGCAACTGCATGCATGGCATACATACACATAAAATTTTGAAATTGGCTGTGAGGTCTCACATTAACCCCAGGAAACTTGTACGTAATTTGCTGAGTTTATTATTACAGAGTATGCTACCAGGATTTGAACAGCATGGCAGTGTGTCCTAGCAGACTTGGGATGTGCTGCCTTGCTAGCAAGTGGGCTTCCAGAGAAAAATGGAGAGAGAGCGGTGAGGACCTAGTCGGAGCCCCTGGAGCCTCCAGCTCTGATTTACAGCTCCAGTCGCCTATCTGCCCCTGCGGCCCTCAGCTAAGCTACTTTGTCTCTGCCTTTACTCAGCTCTGACCCCTAGGGAGTTCCATAGGTAGAGCAGCCTGGCCTCAAACTTGTACCATCAGCCTCCACTGCTGAGGTCACAGGTATGAGCTTTGGAGCCTGTCCTGGCTCCAAAACTGTAGAACAGGCTGGCCTTGAACTCAAAAAGATCCGCCTGCCTCTGCCTCCCAAGTGCTAGGATTAAAGGTTTGCACCACCACTGCCCAGCCTATCTGTATGTATGTATGTATGTATGTATGTATTAGTGTTTTGTTTCCTGTCCCGCGCTACCGTCTCGCCAGCAAGAACGACGCGGCACACTCAGGATCCTTCTGCAGAAAAGCTTTAATGCATCTTGAGAGGGAGAGCATAAGCTTACAGAGCAGAGACCCCAGGGGAAGAAAACCCAGCCCTTAAATAGGTTAATGGTCCTCGCCTAGGACGTGTCATTCCCTGACTGGCTGCAGCTCATCAGCCCTTATGACGCCACGGGAGAGGCAGTTTATCGGTTTGGCGCTACTGGATGCAGGCGCCATCCTGTAATGGAGTATGTGGCTCCCCACATCTCCCCCTTTTTATTATTATAAGCGACTAGGCATCCCCAAATCCATGAGGGTAGAGACAGTGGTTGTACTTCCCAGGCACAGAACATGTAAGACGTGTATGAAAGCTATCCCTAGATTCAACTGAACCCGGGATGCTTTCGACCTGTCCTCTGCCGTTTTTCTGGGAAAGGGGAAGTAAGGCAGGAAACCCTTATGCAGGACAACATGTCTCTCAGAGAGGGTACCATAACGGCTCTCTGTGTGATGCTCTCAGCTCAAAACCCCTCCTGGGGGCCAAACCGAACATTCTACCCTGTGCAATGAACCTAAGTTCTGGGTGTGCAAGAGCTATTCAGTCGGCGGCCTATTGCTTGAGCACAGTTAGCCAGATGTCAGTGGAAGCCCCTTGTTCTAGGGCGACCAGGGCCTGTGCGATAACCACCTTGTCTCTCTAGTTTTGGGTTCTGAGCCTACAGACCAGCCAGAGGAGAAACACCATTTCACAGCAGATGACCATACCAAACAGTCCCACCCCCACCCACTCCTTGAAGTAAGAAACAGCAGAGGAAATCCAGGACGACAGCCCCTCCGTGAAGGACAGGTCAAGACGGGTAGAGTTGATCTGGACGATGGCAGCCCTCAATTCGCGAAGCGTCCATTCAAACTCAAAGGTCCAGTTCTGTAAAATGAACTGTGAAAGGCTTTTAGACAAATTAGCTGCTTTAGTAAAATTTTCATATTGAATGGAGGTGACACAAAGGCCAGGGAGCTTTTGCTCGCAGCCTAACTGTGCCATTTGCCACAATATATCCAAGCATCCCAACACAGGGTATAATAGCATTTACCGGATCTACAATAAAATCATTGTCTGTGGCACTCTTATTGCTCACAATCCACATAAAGGGAGGCCAGATGTAAACTGGAGTGGCCTCATAATCTACATGTCTAAAAGATTTATATTTTACTCCGGAGGCAATCCATTGAAATGACCCTGAACTCTTGCCTGATTAGAGTTGACTGCCCAGGGATCCCTTCCAGTCAAATTCCAATTGGCCCTGTTCACTTCTGCCTCCCTTCAGCATGGCTATGGGTGTAAGATCAGTGCAACTTCCATTACGCCGCAAAGCAGCCATTGATCAAAAGGATTAGTATCCGCCTGCATGGGGTCCAAAGATGTAAAGTTAGTTCCCATGCCTATCCTTGGGGAAAAGGAAAACAGGCCTGTAATAGCCCAGGCAGCATCCCTGGATTGGTATCCTGTCCAAAGCAATGCCATCTCTTCCGTTTGTCTGCCGGTGCAAAAGGGGGCCAATTTTGGTTGCCGTGGCGGGGTAAAAGAACCATTTATAGATGGGAACTGTGGCTACCAGCCATAGATAACAGTAGCATTGGCTACAATGTTACTGCTGGGCCCCCATGCAGCCTCTTTCAGCCAAGCAGAAGATAAATTTCCTAATATAATACAGAGGTTACTATTATCCAGCTTATCTATGACCAAAAAGCATAAGCTTCCTTTAAGGAAAAGGGTTCTGTTTTCCTTAAGTCCTTCAATTTGCCCATCCTTTGGTAAAAATGTAAGACCTAATTCTTTATTAGTGGCAAAAAATTGAGGGAAAACCTGTGCATTATACATCACCGGCATCGGCAGTGGAAAAGTCGACAT